CCAGAGAGACACCACTGCTCTTCAGCACTTTGGAGAGGTCCCTAACAGCAGACTTTCCCATGGCAATGCGCCTTTTAATTTCCTGGCTGCTGGCTCCTGGCTAAGTGGTATAGTTTTAAAAACTCAGCTCATTGTTGTGGAATTGAAACAATTTCATAGCTGACTCTCTAGTGGGATTTTCTTTCATAGCTGACTTCCAGACCTGTAAATTGCACAGGAAGAGATTGCATCTTTCTTTGGTAGAACAGAACCGTCTGCCTTTGGGTTGGCAGCACAACTTCTTGAGCTCCTGGATAAGGAGTTGTCTTGTCAATCTTAAGACAAATTGTTTGCATCCTTATATTACTCCATGTTGTTCAAAGCCTCTACAAAGCTCCTGGAGGGCTACCTATGAATCAGTTCCAGTGCCACAGCAAAGCCTTTGACTTTATAGGGTTGTTTGGTTTTTTGCTTTTTTTTTTTTTGTTTGGTGTTTGTTTTTTTTTGTCTTACAGTTTTGGAAACAGAAAAATTGTGGGTTTATTTTTTATTTTTACTATTTTATGTGTATGTACCTCAAATCGGATCTGACTGGTAGAGGAAGAGATTGTCCCTCCTTCTCCAGCAGAGCATCTGGTGGATTTGAACTGTTCACTTCTGGGACTGCAGTGCAGCTTCTTGACACTAGGCCACCAGTGCTCTCCTGAAAACAGAAAAATGGGGTTTTTTTGTTGCTATCTAATCAAGAGGCAGTAGTAGTGGTAGCTATTTATTATTATTACTATTATTATTATTACTACTACTATTTAATCAGTAGTACTTTGAAAATTATTAATACTAAGTGAGTCTTCTAAGGTTAAATGAATAATATTATTTAGTCCTAAAATAATTTGTGTGAGAAATTTACAATAGTTTCTTCTGCTTTTTAGACCTGTAACCGCTACTACAAAATGTTCATTTGCCTACTGGAAGCATGTAAGAAATGAGTTGGAGAGTATATAACTTCTTAGTGAAGAATACAACAAAGTTTTACTGTTACTGAGAAAATTCTCAAGTGTAAAATCTAATTGTATCTTATTTAATTTGCTGGTGGATTTTCCTTTCATATAACTTAGAATATCTTTTTCTCTTTTTTTGTTTTCCTCTACAGAAAGCTGACCTTGCAGTTGCTCCATTGGCTATAACCTACGTTCGAGAGAAGGTCATCGACTTTTCCAAGCCCTTTATGACACTTGGAATAAGTATTTTGTACCGCAAGCCCAATGGTACAAACCCAGGCGTCTTCTCCTTCCTGAATCCTCTCTCCCCTGATATCTGGATGTATATTCTGCTGGCTTACTTGGGTGTCAGTTGTGTGCTCTTTGTCATAGCCAGGTAACATGCTCACTTTTGTGATTTTTTTGGCAATTGTTACCTCCTTTTTCTAACTAATAATTGTCAAAAGTCACAATGAATTTTAATTTTCCTTTCTTTAGTTTCCATGGAGTACTGAAGAATACTGAATTTTATAAAGTTACATCATGTATTATTACTATGTACTATGCTGCCTGTTTTTTGGCAATAGGCATGCTGATGGTGTCAATAAGCTATAAATATGCTAGAGTCCATTATTCTTAATAAGGGTTTTAAAAAACAACCCAAATCACTATGGAATAAGAAGCATTTACTCATTTCTGAAGATTTGTATTGAATCCAAGAGCAAAACATTCTGTGTCACTAGTATGTATAAATAATTTAGTTGTAGAAAGAAACTAAAACAGTAACATTTTTAAAAGACCATTCTTTAAAAGAACCAAGTCTAATTTAAAATAATATTCTTAAGTATAAAACAGCTGCTATAACTTTCTAATTAAAATTTAACATTGTTTTCAAAGAGTAAATATATCACCGTGCAAAACCACTTTATATATATATATATACATATATATATAAACTTACACAAAGTATTTGTCTCATTTCATGCAATCAGAAACTCAGATACGTAGTTGAAAAGACATGTATGTTTATACATTGGCCTTTTAAATCAATGGTACAGCTCAGTCTATATTGCTCTTTTATTCCTCCTATGAACTTGAAAATTTGTATTCATTTTTCATATATGCTTGACCCTAATAAATTTTCAATGAGTAGGTTATTTTTAATAGCAATTTCTTTACTTTTACCTTCATTGAAAAGAATAAAATTGTATCTGAGTATACTTTTATAAGAAAGTATACTTTTTATATTCTGTCAGAGATCTAAATGGTCAAAATTGAGAAATGAATCAATTATACATATATTTAATATTGATAAGATGCTTGTAAAGTCTTAAATATGTTTACATTTGTGCAAAGCCCTAATGATGTCATGCTTTGCTTGTTGAGTTGAGAGATCTCTGCTTCATTATCACTTCATTAAAGATATCTCCTTCATTAAAGATTTACACACTGAGAAACCCAATGAATGGGTATGACGACTCAGATCCACATCAGTAGGTTTTGGGACTTTGTAGATTTTAGACCTTATTTCAGTTATACATATAGATTCTTTAGATAAATATTTTATTATGCATTTTTATTCTTCCTTGAATTTATTTTTTAATGAAATAATGCATTTTTTTGCATAGCAATTTTAAAAATTGTTTATATTTCTTTTAAACTTTAAGAACATCAATTTTATTATTATTGAAAACCTTTTTATAAAGTTAACATAAATATTTTGCAAGTTTATTATTTCTACTAATTGATGTAATATAAATTATTAAGTCCTTTAGGCAAATATAAGTTGTTGTACCTGCATAAAATGTGTAGTGGAAACAAATAACATTTGAAAATATATTGTGATACTTTACAAGTGAAAATTGGAGTCAGGGGCTCTTTTGGCTGTATGCAATCAGTTCACAAACTTTTAGCACCAACTTCTATTTCCTATGTAAAATACCTGATTTTTTAAAATATCTTTGAATTAATTTTATCCTTTCATTGTCATGGTTAATACAAGTCATTTACTTTTTAGGTTCACAGTAAAGATTTCCATAGTTTTAGTTTAAATAACCAAATGTCTGGAGAATATTTCACTCTCCCTATAGGACAAGTAGAAAAGTAACACACACACACAAAAAAAATAGAAGAAAAAGAAAATATTCCTTTATGTTTGCAGGTACACCTATTCCTACATACTCAAACTAACAAATTTTATAGAAGGACTGGACCTAAGACCATCAGTCTGTCCACTTACCAAATGGTTGTTGTTGTACTGTTGAGTTGGAACTGGCCCATAGCTGATCCTCCAGTGAGTTTATAAAGGCAGTTAATTGTGCAAGGAGAGCCCGCCCCACTTTCTCCTGCAGAGCACCTGGTGGATTTGAACCATGTGCCTTCAAGATCGCAGCACAACTTCTTACCAACCAAGTGAACACAAATTTCCTGGAGATCTTACGAATTCTCTTACGTTTTTGTTTCTAACTTTATATTATGAATTGTAGTAATCTAGCAACAATTTCTTGAATCCAAAATTACCTGAAGTTCAGAGTAGAATATGGACATATCTGAATTATTTTCCAGATGAAAATTACTTTTGCAAATTGAAGTATATGGTAGAGATGTACACTTAGCTAACTTTTAAAATATTTTTATAATATTCACTTTGATAAACCTATATAAATAATACATAAATAAAAAATAATTATAGAATCCTGTATTGATCTTACACAAAAGAAACACATTCATATTAGTCTGTCTGAGAATATAAAGTCTGTTTTCATTATGTTATTCTTATGTCTTAAATTTTAGACTGTTACTGTTTTATTTTATCAATTCTGAAATCACTAGATTTTAAAATGATACTATTTCACTAAAACTTGTCTTATTTACCTTAAAAAAAAGAGTTTAGACTTTACTTTTTTGCAAATTTAACATTATTCAAACTATTTTAAAATACTTTTGTAGTCAGCATTATTAGACTTAACTAAATTTAATTTACTATAATATTTTTTGAAAAGTAACTCATAGAGATAACTATATTTTATACTCTCTCAGACAATTGTGTTCATTTTAAATTATAAAATTATCATTGCCAAATTAAATGAGGACACATACATAATTAAATCTCGGATTAAAATATCTTTAAAAATAAGAATGTTCAAATTATAGATTTAATCCCCAAAATTAGATGAATTTTTAGAAACCAATTATTCTTCCACTATTTTAGACCCTTGTTACTATAACAGAAGTTTATGATGTGTGAATGCAGACAAAAGGCCTTTTTAATTTAAGAGAAACAAAATAATTCATAAATTTCACATTGCAATGTAATTTTACATTAATTATCAATCAAAATTGTCTTTTATCAAATAAAGATCAGTAATGAACCCACCGATGTAATTATTAACATAAAATTAGTAGTATTTTTAATATTATTAACATTCTTCATCTTCATAGAGATTACAGAACCATGAAATACAAACTCCTCTTTTTTTAAAAAAAATTAAGTAGGTATTTCATTCTTACCAGAAATCGTAGAAATGAAAAATATAAAACTAATACTCAATGAAAAGCAAAATTATAGAAAGTTATATCATATTAACCCTTTAGAAATTAAAATAATTTGTCTTAAAAATTTAAAAGCAAAAAATTAATTAAGAGTTAACCATTTTTCTTTCTGTTATTCTTAATTTTTATCTTTTTACCATTCTCTGAACTTTTTATTATTACTGTTATAATTAATCTTCTGTGTCTTTTCAGAGATACCAAGTCACAACTGCAATTTGTCACTCACTCAATTCTTAAAATTTTAAGACACTAAATAATTAGGAAATTATAAAATTGGAAGCATTCATTTACGTTTTAAATGTGTTCAATTAATTTATTCAGTAAATACTCATTGTATATTCATAATTTGCCAAGAATATCAGATATTTAAATTTAAAATATAACTAGGGATCTTCTTTTCCTTAATAAACTTTCAATGTATTTATTTCTTGCTTAATACCCTTGAATATATTTGTTATGAATATTTGAAAGTTTTCCTAACAATTCTAGAAATTCTGATCATAAGAATGTCATATACTTTCCTAAAAATTGAATTGGAGTACATATGAAAATTTCATTGAAGAGAAGCATGCAACTGTAAAAGTAATAAATCATATACAGATTGCTAATTTTCATTGAAATTTCAGCTCTTGAATATATTTATAGAAATAATAGACATAACAATATTAATTTCTTGACAAATTAATAACTAGTAAAAATTTCTAGAATTTATTTCATACTGAATTTAAAACTATATATTTTCCTGACTCATTTAGAATATCTTCTTCATTCTTGTTTCGAAAGGAAAACAGGTAGTTGTATTTAATAGCCTAATGACATAATCAGCATGCTTATGTTAATTACTAGAGCAATCCATATTTGGAGAATACAAAGTATGACAGTTTAGATATAGAAGAATAGACATCTGAATAAAATAGTACCGGAATTTAAAGGATTAGAAAGGAATCTTGTCCACCAGAAAATAAAAATAAGTGAAAGGGTGTTCCCCAAAGTATGGTTTCATAACATTTATGGTAGAAAAAAAGTAAGGAACAGTTTTGGCTAGTAGTGAATTAGTTGTACTTAGTCATAATTATAGTTTTCTTTCTATTTGATTTTTTCCTTTGATCTGGTATATCTGTAGAGAGATAGCATATAGTAATATAAAAAGTCTGGTTAGACCCAACCCCTCAGCCTTCTTACTGATGAGAGGTATTTTCACCTTGCTTCAAATATTTATTTAGTCAAATAACAGAATTGATTGGTCTAATTTCCAAATGAATTGAGTTAAATGTATATTGTAGGATCAAAAAAAATGAATTCTAGATATCTGTCTTTAGAAAGTCATTTAGACTGTTAGTCTAAGGTCCTTAATGATTTAATATACAATAATAAATACCTGAAGCAAAACCATACATATTACACATATTTTTTCCTCCAACAGGATTGATAGAATTTTAATAATTAATTCAGTAATCAAAACAACATTGTATATTTTATTCTAATATTTTACCCCTAAACACAAATTCTGGAGCAGAATAAGTAATACTATGCCAAATGTTATAGCATGGATATTGTTAAATATTTCTTACACCACTTAAGTGAAAAACTATTATAATCAAATATAGATAAGAAAGTTTATTAAAAAAAAACCACCCAGACTTTATAGACTAACCAGGCTTTTCCTCTTTTTTTTTCTTTTTGTTTTTAAGTAAGAATAGAAAAAGACTACTCACTGTGCCAAAACATTAATTTTTCTACAGTAAAAACAATCAAGGAATTTCTTGTGCTGAATTACCATAAATTCTTTTTAGAATAGTAGAACATGATATATTGGTTTGAGTAGCAGAGAATAGTCTCCTTAGA